AACCCCACCTCGGCCATGCCGGGCCGTACTACACAAGAATAAACAACGTTAATTACTTTTTAGTTAATATATATATATATATATATATATATATATATATACACATTACAATAATAACTAGGAAGCTTTTTTTACATCAATTCTTTATTAATACTAATAATTACTTCATATACACAAATATATTAACACACAATACAACTAAGCTCGTAAAGACATAAAATTCTAGCACACCTCTTACTCACATTGGTTAATAATATTTACAGAATTTAACCAGCAAATCAGACAGAAGGTTGGTTACGAGAAGATCTTTCACATTCAACAAAAAGTCATAATACGAAACTGGTGTACAAACGTTTATTAAAACATCCTGTTTTCTGGTCCGTCCATTTGATTTGTGTTCTATTTGTTAGTAAACATCCAAAAAGGCTGTATTTCGAGATCTGCATAAGAGTATTTTGCAAATAATTGTCAAATTGCTCACAAATGGAAAACAGATCAGTGATATTTGCGTATTGTAATACTTTCGAAGTTGGCTGTTTGTTTTATTTAAACATTTTTTTCGTCGAGTTAAACAGTATACATCGTTTTGGATATCGCTAATTTAGGTTTAATTAAAAGATTAAAAAATAACAGCTCGTTAATAATTTTACTCTTCGAACTTTCCTGCTGGTTTTAATTTTTTCCTTTAACAGTAGTTTGTTATCTCAAGTTCAAATCATTATCGAAACAAGAAATATTGATTCTGAAAAGTTATTTAGTTTGCATAGTAGTAACAATAAATTATTTAATGTTTTTGTTTATTGTTTACGGATATTCCGTCCCTAACTTTGAACTGATGTCCTATCTGCCGCCATTATTTAGGATACTCTTGTTTGACCGAATAGCGGAATTTGAAAGTCATTTTTATAATACACCATCAAGTTGGACCGTGGTTGTTTTTTTTTCAGTAACAGGATGCGAATGGTTGACACGCAGATCCAAATTCCGACATGCTAACAACTGTGCTATGCTCGGTCCAAATTATTCCGTAAAATATCAAGACCTAAACTAAGGAGAATGCAAAGTAATGTTAAAGCAAATTGTTTTAATTGTCTCCGCTTGGTGGCGGCCGTATTTATAAATGTCAGACATAAAATGTAATTAGCTTTGTTTGTTCGTAGTTAAGCACAAAGTTACACGGTGGACTATCTATGCTGTGCCCACCACAGGTGGTATGGAACCCGATTTTTAGCGTTATATGCCTTAAGACTTATCGCTGTGTCACTGAGCACATTTGTTTACGTGTGACAAGACCAGTGATATACTTATAATTTGTAAATATACCAACAAAATGGGATACTATTTTTAAAACTATTTGCTATGCTACGTAAATCATTATACAGGGCGAGAAAAATAAAAAACAGTATCAGATGACAGTTTTTATTATCGGAGAGCTTCTTATCGGATATGATTGCGTATCAAGCGTTCACATGACTTTCACTGATCTATTAATATTGATGTCTGTTTGTTTATTGTTAAGCATAAAGCTACAGAGTGGGCTACCTGTGCTCTGCCCACTGTGGATATAGAAATACGATTTTTTTTATTAACGTTATAAGCCCTCAGACTTATCGTTGGGAGGCTTATATATATATATATCTGTGTTTAACCTTTACCTATGATCGCTACCATAGCAGAAACAATCTTTTTGATACTTTCTTTAGGCTAAGCCTATTCAAAACAAAGACACAGGTTTTTGTTTAGTAATTTATCAACAAAGAAAAATAGTTTTATTAAGGTTCAAATAATACACAAACTAACACGTAAGGCATTCAATTTTAATGTACTACTTTTGTCACCATAGAAACATTATGAATTTCGCGCAAAGCTACACGAGGACTATCTGCGCTAGCCGGCCCTAATTTAACAGTGAAAGACTAGAGGGAAGGCAGGTAGTCATCACCACCTACCGCCAACTCTTGGGCTACTCTTGTACCAACGAATAGTGAGATTGACCGTCACATTATAACGCCCCACGGCTGAAAGGGCGAGTATGTTTGGTGGGACGGGGATTCGAACCCTCGACCAGCAGATTGCGAGTCGAGCGCCCTAGCCACCTGGCCATGCCAGGCCTAATTACAGTTAGTATTGTTAAAATAAACTTATATTATCAGTTAATTTCTTTATTACAGTTTACATTGTTAAAATACACTGCTAACATTAATTAAACCCTCGACCCGCAGATTGCGAGTCGAGCGCCCTAACCACCTGGCCATGCCAGGCCTAATTACAGTTAGTATTGTTAAAATAAACTTATATTATCAGTTAATTTCTTTATTAGAGTTTATATTATTAAAATACACTGCTAACATTAATTAATCTCTTTATTATTGTTTGTATTGTTAAAATAAACTGATATTATCAGTTAATCTCTTTATTAGAGTTTTTATGGTTAAACTAAACTGATATCATTAGTTAATCTCTCTATTAATGTTTTTTATGGTTAAACTAAACTGATATTATCAGTTAATCTCTTTATTAGAGTTTTTATGGTTAAACTAAACTGATATCATTAGTTAATCTCTTGATTACAGTTTCTGTTGTTACTATAAACATTATTCCCAATAACGTTTTTATTTTCTATGAAAATATGTATTATTCCATTTAACAACTTCAAGAGCAAACTGATATTTTCAATAGGTTAATATGATTGAGAAAATAAATGTAGAACTGTAGTAATTTAAAGCCAAACTCGTTTGATTTAAAGTAGAATCAATTTCACCTTTTTTAACTGTAAAATACGTCATGTCTATTCAGGAACACGTGAAAGTCTCTCCCATATTAATCTCATAATAAGAAAAGTATAGAGAGATACTAAAATGATAGCATAAGGAAGTGAATCTTGTGACTGTTTGTTTAGGATTATTACTGGATTTATTATTAAACATTTATCGTGGGAATACACGCAAATAGATAAATGTTTAGTTTCATGATCAAATTAATTTTAAAGGGTGCGCAGGTTGGCCCTGTTTAGACCTCTGAATTTCGAATCTGGCAAATCGCGTTCGAATCTGTTCAATACCCCAGAATAATCCCCGCATTTTAAGCTGTGAGTGCGTTATAGGAGTGATAGTCAATCCCTTACTTTGAATGATGGGTGATAGGGTGCTGCTGTCTGCCTGCGTTCCATTTGTCCAGTAGTTCAAAATTACTGGGAACTGGAAAGACAGCCTTAGTTAGTAGGTTTGACGTACATACAAATTAATATATTAAAAAAAATTAGTGGGGATCTGTAAATGCATCAGGTAAATTAAATAATTCGAAGTTAAGGTAGGTGTTATGTTAACGTGTATGGATGATTTTTTTAATCTCTTCACACAAAACCAAAGACAATTAAATCTGAACACATTATATTTTCTCTAATATTTGGCAACAACGATAAAAAACCTCAGCGTATACTTTGAAGATCTGTTAAAGTATTTCCCTTTATTAAATGCAAAAATTAAACATTATACGTCAAAAAAATGTTCTATTCTCAATGGTCCACATTATACGTCAAAAAATGTTCTATTCTCAATGGTTCACATTATACGTCAAAAATGTTCTATTCTCAGTGGATCACATTATACTTTAACAAAAACGATCTATTCTCAATGGTTCACATTATACGTCAAAAATGTTCTATTCTCAATGGTTCACATTATACGTCAAAAATGTTCTATTCTCAGTGGTTCACATTATACGTCAAAAATGTTCTATTCTCAGTGGTTCACATTATACTTTAACAAAAATGTTCTATTCTCAATGGTTCACATTATACTTTAACAAAAATGTTCTATTCTCAATGGTTCACATTATACTTTAACAAAAATGTTCTATTCTCAATGGTTCACATTATACGTCAAAAATGTTCTATTCTCAGTGGTTCACATTATACTTTAACAAAAAATGTTCTAATTTCAGTGGTTCACATTATACGTCAAAAATGTTCTATTCTCAATGGTTCATATTATACGTCAAAAATGTTCTATTCTCAGTAGTTCACTTTATACTTTAACAAAAAATGTTCTATTCTCAGTGGTTCTCTTTTTCGGCTGAAGTGAAAACTGTGCTACAAACAAACTTTTTATGAAAACCATTTTGCAAAAACTAAATCCGTAAAACAATAATATACATCTTCTGCAGTCTGTATTTTGCTCACTGTCAAAGATCTTCGCTTTCCTTACATAATGAACAATTTAACCTCGGTGTACATATCTATTAACTTAACACATACAATGATATTCAAAATAACCTTTCTAACATAAAATATATTTCAATGTGGTTTCCGAAAGAAAGCAGAATTATTAAAATACATACATCTCTTGACTTGAGCATTATCAGATGAAGTGTTACAAGTTTCAGTACGAAGCAAATACTTTCTGTTGCTGTCCCACTCCTTCCTCATTATAATATGCCATTTTCCTTATCTTTAATAGGCCTAACTTTCTCTTGAAGGATAGTACATCTTTACGATCGAGGTAGATGATGATGTCTTGTTGCCATGGCAACCTCTGACAGTTTGACGTCAACAGGTTCCCTATTGTCATAGAGGGTTGGTGCATGTAAAATAATTCCACAAGTTCCCGCCAAAACAGCAACGGTAAAGATCCAGAGAAACAGTCGGTCGAGAACCATCGCCACGTACTTCCAGTCTTCCTTTACCTGTTCAAGCAATAAGTGATTCTGTATCAATACCCGATTGAAAATTAAACACGAACATAATATGGAACTAGTAGAGACTTGTAAAACATTTGCGGTCAAATTAGTATCTTTATTACAACAATACTTCTTTAAATGCAGAATTTCTAGAATAATACAAACGAATTCTAATCGCAGATACCGAAATCTGCAAGTCCACTTTTCTTAGGCCTAACACTAGTTAAGCCTTTATTAAGTACGTCCTATATTCGATAAAGAGATAAATTAACACTGTAACTTGTGTACGTTTTTTTTTTTCCTTTAGTTTAGTTAGGGCTAAACGTTACTGTACCTAATACTACCTATAAATAAAGTTATAATGTTAATCTACGACCTAACGTTAAACCTTTTTAAAAACCTTGATAAAATTTTAATATGTTGTCGTACAAAATGGCTACTAAAGTATATTTATATCTCCCTTTTGTTTACATCCCTTGAAATGTGCGCGAGCATGCGCATTTAGATAGTAAGGTGCGCTCGCATTTTCAGGACAATCAAAACTGAGTATTATTATAATACATAATACTAACGGTATACGAATATTTATGAAAATCCATCTTAAGCATTTCCATTTTGAATGAAAATTGCTGCTCAAGCCATGTAAAGATGGAAAAAAAATCACAAGTAAGGGGGAAACTGTGATCGCTCTAGTCCTAGAGTTAAAACACATTCGCGAACACTAACATTAGAAAAGTAAACAAATGGTAAGGAGTTGCGAAGGTACGTAGATGTTGAGTGAAAGAACGTTCGAAAATAATTGTAGATTTGTTTGTTATGGATTTCGCGCAAAGCTACACGAGGGCTATCTGCGCTAGCCGTCCCTAATTTCACAGTGTAAGACTAGAGCTACTCATCATCACCCACCGCCAACTCTTGGGCTACTCGTTTACCAACGAATAGTGGGATTTACCGTAATATTATAACGCCCCCACCGCTGAAAGGGCGAGCATGTTTGGTGTGACCCTAACCACCTGGCCATGCCGGGCCATAATTGTAGAATGAGAGTGATATATAAAGAGGTATAATGATGGGAAATTAGACAAAGAGATATTTCATATACCGTATGTTTCGGAATATAAGACGCACCGGTG